CCACTTACATTAAACCAATAGTTAATTAACAATAACTTAATTAAATATACAGAATTTACAAACACAAAATTAAAATTCTGCTTCAAGTGGAGTTCATCTGCTCCATCAGGAAATGTCCCATGATCAGTAGCAGTCACATCAGTGGTAGAAACTTCATTAACGGCTTCACTGTTTTCCCTCTCAAAACTGGGTAGAGTTTCTTCTCCAACAGTGGCTTTTTCAGGTGACATGTCTTCAGCAGCCTCATTTGTTCAGTTGTTCACTTCATTCCAACTGAAATATCCTGGACCGTGATAACGCCAAAGCCTGGTGGCATGCACCACCTTTGGCTTAACTCGCCGACCACATTTTATCCGAAAAGTCACGTCTGAGAGATGATCCACTTTGTCATATAGGCCTTCCCAAGGAGAAGACAAATTAGGAGACTTCCCTTTGGTCTTCCTGGGATTATACAACCACACCTTGTCTCCTGGTACAAAGCTGACTTCAGTATATCTCTTATCATAACATAGCTTCATGGATAAGCAGATGTTTTCAAGTTTGAACGCACTTGATGGTGAATATTATCCATCCTTTCCGATAACACTTTCACGAACTTTGACACATTTTCAGGCAACTAATCAAAAGGTGGGTGTCCTGTTATCCGGTCTACTAGAAACCGAAGTTCCCGACCAAACATAAGCTTTGCCGGAATGTATCCAGTGGCTCCATGTTCTGCTGTTCTATAGGCCATCAACAGTGGAGGGAGTAAGACATCCCAGTCATCTTGGCAGCTATTACAAAACATCAGACTGTGGGTGAAGTGGCATTGTCCTGGTCTTTCGTATGCCAAACAACTTGCAGAATTCATGGAACATAGCTGATTCAAAGTTACGACCTTGATCTGAATGCAGTTTGTATGGCATACCACACCTGTAGAAGAAATCACTAATGGCCGAAGCTACATTTGTAGCTTTCTGATTTGGTATTGCAAATACCTCAGGCCACTTGGTGAAATAATCCATCACCACACAAATGTACCTGTTTCCAGCCTGTGTTTGGGGCAGAGGACCAACAATGTCAATGGCTACTCTTTCCATTGGTGTGCCAACATGATATAACTTCATTGGAGCACGTCCCATACGCTTTGGTTCCTTTTTAGCACATGTACTGCAGGTCCTGCACCATTCTTCCACATCTTGCCTCATACCTATCCAGTAAAATATCTGTCGTAGGTGACTCAATGTCTTCTTAACTCCGAGATATCCTCCTGTTAATCAATCATGGGATTGAAGCAGAACAACTTCCCATAACTTTCTCGGTATAACTGTTTGCCAGGTCATCACTTTCTCATCTGCAGGTTCCCATCTCCCATCTTTAAGCTTCAACTGATCCCATTGTGCCCAAAAGTTCTTTGTCACAGGACTTAAGCTAGAAACCTTCTCCCAAGCAGGGTGCAAAACACTTGCTTTTAGAAAATCAATTATTGGCTTCAAATCTTGGTCTTTCTCCTGTTCTGCTTTAATATCTATACCTGGTTCCACATCACCATCATCAACTCCTTCAGTCACTTTGACTTCAGCTTGATGACACCTGGTTAGTTAAAACTCTCTTTTGCAGCAATGTCTACAGTAATTTTTGCAGGGTATTCGGCTCAGTCCGTCGGCATTTCCATGAGATTTTCCTTCTCTGTATTCAATATCATAATTATACTGGTCTATCAAACGTGCCACGTTCCCTCTGGGTTTTTTTAATGATCTTAACCATCGTAATGGTCTGTCCTGATGGTAAACCTGGCTCCATAGAGGTAAGAATGGAAATATGTCAGACTCTTTACTATAGCAAGTTATACAGTTATACATGTTACACAGTAGTTCCTCTCTGGTCTACTCTACTGAAGTAGGCCACCACATGTTCGTTTTCTCCCACTTTCTGAGACAATACACCTCCAATTCCAACATTACTAGCATCACAATCCAGTATGTATGGCAGTGAGGGATTTGGAATCGTTAAAAGTGGAGATGATTTTTCTTTCAATGTCTTGAAAGCATGCTGGCAAGAAACTATCCATTCCAACTTATGGCCTTTTTTTGTTAAATCATGTAGTGGAGCAGCTACACTTGCAAAGTCCTTCACAAACTTCCGGTAATAGGTAGAGAGTCCCAAGAAACTTCTTAACTCTCCTACATTGTCTGGTGTTGGCCAATCACGCACTGCCTTCACCTTGTCAGGATTAATTTGCACCCCATGCTCACTTACAATGTGACCTAAGTAAAGCACCTCTTTCTGGAACAAATGACATTTTTTGGGGTGGAGTTTCAGATTTGCTGCTTTCAAATGCTTGAATACTTCCTCTAGCCAGGATACTCCCTCATCAAATGTTGCTGCAAACACAATGACATCATCCAGGTACACTAGGGCTATCCTCCATTGTAGGCATTGTTAGCATTGCTAAGCCCGAATGGCATCACACTGTATTGCCAGAGACCTTGGCCATAACTAAATGCAGTCTTAGGTTTATCTGCTTCAGCCATTTTCACTTGATGGATACCCAACTATAAGTCTAGAGTTGAAAACCACCTGGCTCTACTTACGGCACCAAGAGTATCATCAATTCTTGGCAGTGGGTATGAGTTCTTTTTGGTTATACTGTTAAGAGCCCTAAAGTCCACACAGCAACATTGGGTCCCATCCTTCTTCTGGACTAGCATGACGGGAGATGACCAGGGACTATCTGATTTCTCGAATATCCCTCCCTTAATTAGGCCATCCATGACCTTCCCCATCTCTTGTCGCTTTGGTGGAGCTATTCTCCTCGGAGGGATCATTATTGGACAGTGATTTCCTGTTTTTATTCTGTGCTCTACAAGGTCCGTGCAGCCGAGGTCATGATCTCTTTTGGAAAAGACGTCTGCATAATTCGCCAAAAGTTCCCTAACCTAAAGAGCCTGTGATGATGACAA